ACTTATTAACTATGTTATTATTTTATAAGTTAGTTAGTTATTATTACTTAACTTTTAAAAAATTAAAATAAAGTATCTTTAATAAGATTTAAACCTATAATCTATATATTAACTTATATAGAAACTACTATATTATAAAGGTAAAAAATTTAAAGATTAATAAATTTAAATTATAATAGTACCTTTTTTTTAATAATTACCTTAATAAAATATTAAATTCTTTTTTTAAAGATAATATAGCCTTAGGCTTTTTTATATTACTTAGAATTTAGTTATAAATTATAGAATATAAGAAGAATATAATAAATATTTATATTTATTTCTTTAATTAAAAAACTATATTAGTTTTTATTAAGAACTAATATAAACCTTAAGTACTATATAAGAATATAAGTTTTCTTTTAGTAACTTTAGTTTTTCTTATACTTATAATTATTAAAAATATTAAATAATAAACTAGTTTATTTAAAGTAAATAAATAATAATAATATTAAACATTTTAAATTTAAATGTTATTATATTATATAATATTTATAATTAATAATTTTATTAATTTATATATCTCTCTATATAAAATTACTCTTAATTTGTGATTATTACTAACAGACGCACCTAGTCAAGACGCGAGAAAAATAGACACGTAAGAGGAAGACCATCGTGAAGAAAGAGGATAAGGCGACACCTGAATCGAAGACGAAAGCCATGGAAATTACAATCAGTTGATGTAGGACCTTGACTCCTATTCAGCTAGCCCATAGATTTTGTGCGTCTCGTCATATGTGAAGTGTTGAGCTATACGATGAAGAATAGTCAGGCGGCGACCCTACCTACTTTATGGCCCAGGTAACTAGATTGATATTGCAGCAATAAGGTTCAATAAAATTGAACTTATAGTACTAGTGCTGTCCATAATTCTGTCCATATTCGTGTCGTTTCAGCGATTTCCCGTTTGTCCCTGTTGTTCTCCTCATCAACATACTAGCTTCCCTGAAGAGTCACGTGTAGCAAGCGAACATTCAAAGCTGAGCTGAAGGTATCAACTCTTTCAATGCATTCTTTACACGTCGAATCTTTCACACGTTACGACTAGTAAGACTCTTGGCGACGGCATATACTCGATATGTGTGGACGATATGCGTTGGCGCTGGTGAGTACGAGGCAAAGCAACTCTCTTGATGTCATGCACGTCATACAACACGCTCACGCAAACTTTTACTGATGACGAACGCAGCGGCCGTCTGAGATCCGGCAACTTATAGAAGATGCCGGCATGGAGGTGGCAGACGCACCAGATGACGAAGGGGTCGATGCACCAAGTCAGTCCTATAATTTTGCTCCTGGGTATTACGGAGTCGTGTGCCGGGCCAATACGCCTGACCACGGTGCTGGGCCAGCTACGAAAGGTGCGGCCGATGGCGTTGTTTGCAATGAGGGCCGCACCATAAGCTATAGGCTGCAGTCTATGAAATGGGGCTTGGTTCCCTCCTGGTCCAAACGAAATCCCGATCATACGCTTATGCTCAAGACTATCAATTGCCGGTCTGATTCTCTCAGCAGCCCCGGGGGTATCTGGGCAACCATGAAGGCGCGGAAGCGATGTGTCGTCATTGCACAAGGTTTCTACGAATGGCTCAAGACTCGACCCAAGGAAAAGCTGCCTCACTATGTTAAAAGACAAGACGGGCAGTTGATGTGCTTTGCCGGGCTATGGGATTGCGTGCAATTCGAAGGTGTGTGGCTGGATAGAGTGAATGCTAGCCTGCTAGTAGTAGTGCTAATGGCACCAGACTCCGATGAGAAGCAATACACTTTTTCAATCATCACGACGGATTCGAATAAGCAACTGAAATTCTTACACGATCGCATGCCCGTTATCATGGAACCCGGTTCTGATGCCATGCGACGATGGCTCGACCCCAACAGGTATAAATGGACGAAGGAGCTGCAATTCTTGCTACAGCCTTTTGCGGGCGATGTGGAGGTGTACCCTGTGAGCAAGGGCGTGGGCAAAGTAGGAAACAACTCACCGACATTCATCAAGCCTTTATACAGCAGGGAAAACAAGTCGAACATCGCCAATTTCTTCTCAAGCCCTGGAGCGTCGCCTCAGAAGTCTGAAGATGCTAGTACTAGTAATGGACCAAAGGTAACCGGGGAGACGCGGAAACTGGGGGCCGGAGTCATACCTGCGCAGAAGAAGGAGGGGATTCTGAAAACCGGTGTTAGTTCAACACACAATGATTGCAAAAAGCCGACCAGATTGTCGAAAGGGACGCAAAAAATCACGAACTTCTTTGAGAGATAATCTATAAAAACATGAGTTCCTATTTATGCGAAATCATAGTATCAAGAATTGTACTGTTTCATTATTCAGGCTGTATTATTTTCCTTCCAGCGTGGTCCACAGGCACGAAAGCGTCTCTCTTTCCGAATAAAAAGTAATCTACACAGGCTCATCCATCCTTTCACTACCAAACAGACAAACGATTGAGCGACACATCCGCCCGCAAACCAAATGAGAAATTCAAGACCAACGGGAAAATATTTTACGTGAGCCCGACTGTGTCTAAACTATGCCAGTCCTAGAACTTATGGCGATTGTGTTTGATAGAACATTTTTCTTTCTTTTGCCAGAAGTGAGTTTAATACGTTGTTCTGGGATAAGGAAAAAAAAGACAAATTTACCGCCACCCAATTTTAGAAAAGGACACTCAAACGGAAGAAAAATTAACCGTCCATAATTGATGACCCACCCACGCACAAGTCTTTCGCTGTTCAAAAGTAACAATCATGTGTAGGTACGTACGGCTTTGTCATATTGTTGTTCTTGCACGACCTGTATAGATATTTGAAGTGAAGCACAAACTCCACCGTCGTGCCTTGTCAGCGAGTAGGATAACCCAGTTTGACTACGCCTTGGCAATCTAGTCGAGCCGATGATACGTGCACGTACCACACAACTTCTCCTCTACATCTACACGTGGGTCCTACTACTATTAGCGCACCCACTAACCACCTACTTAAAGCCTAATAAGTTCTAAGAAAAATAAAAATATGTTTAAACTATATAACTGTAAGAATTAATCTAATAAATATCTATAGGCAAAAGACTTTTATAATAAGTAATAATATCACTAATAATTTACTTTATATATATATTTAAACCCTTTATAAAAGAAATAATAATATTATTTAATTTTAATATATAATTATATTAAAAGTATATTAAGTTAAATTTTAATATTAAAAAAGGAAAATAATTCTTAATTAACTATTTTTAATAAATTAACTTTAGTTAATTTAATTAAATTATAAACTTAATTAAATTATAATTTACTTTTAAGTTAAAATTATATTAAAAAGGTTTATATTATTTATAAAGTTAATTATAAAAAGGTTTTATATTAATATTAAAGTTTTTTATTAAGATAATATTAAGGAAATAAAAAAATATTTAAGAAAATAAAAAGTCTTATAAAATATCTTAAAATAAATTAAACTATTATAAAGATATTATTATATTAGTCGGAATCGACCGTTCTGGTGTACCTTGCTTTACTAGCTAAGATAAAAAGGGCTAGGTCCCTTATAGTATTTAAAAATAACTTTTTCGCCTTTTTTATACTTAATTTCTATTACTTCCCTTATAATTAGGAGCCGGCTACGCTGCCTTTTTCCCTAACGATATCTTAACCTATTATAATTCTTTAAGTCTTAATATAATAATATAATAATAATA